CATGCATTGTCTTTCAGGGTGTACAAATGCTGCATTTCCTCTGGTGGCGTGTAAACCCCCAGCCATACTGCGACGCACATACACACAGATCAGCCCTCATCAGCTGTGTGCAGCCCAGACAGGAGATTGAGCTGCTGCATTTGCATTTTGCCCCAAAGTGCTTGGCACACAAACAGGATATCTTGTTAGTCCTTGTCTGTAACAAGGATAATAGATTACATTTTGCTAAAATATCGATATGTCCCCCAGAGCTGTTTCACAACAACAACAAAAAAAAAACTGCAGGCTTAAGAGAAGAACATCCTGGACAACAGCAGCAGCATATGTTTTTGATATCTGAATTGCATAAATTAAGCCACACAGATTCAACACTTTCTAGCAATAATTATGTTGTAGAACTCCTCTCCTGAGTGAATATTGGATTAGCTGTGTTTTCCCTATTGAGCTACTTACCACCCCAGGCATTCTGCTAACACTACACCACCCCCTGCTTCTCTACCTCCTACATCCTCCCTGCAAGGTTTGCTGAGGTGGCCAGCCATTCATGTAGCGATGTTGCATCCTAAAGAAAAAACACAAGCTTACTTAAAATATCAAGCATTTCTCTCATTTGCCTGCAGCTTTTTCATCTCATCAAGAATGTTGTAATTGAACTTAATTTAAAGTCTGATAACGCTGGTTTTGGCTAAAAAACGCTGCTGTGTGTGTGGATGTATGTGTGTGACCGTCTGTCAGCTCTTTGCAAGGAGGCTGTTGCCTTTTCACTGAAGTCATCTGAATCCCTGGTTGGTTGATTATTCTCAAATCGGCTTTTTTTTGGAAAGGATAGGCAGGAAAGGAGATTCTCATTTAGAGACACCTCCAATCCACCTGACAGGGTGACAATGCAAAGTGGCCCACACCTGAAGGAGACAAGAATCCCTGTAATATTTGTCAAACGAGGTACGCACAATCAAAGACTCAGACCTTTCCTTCTTTAAAAAGTGGTGGATCATTATGGCCTTTACAACAGCTAAATACTGTAGATCAGGGGTGTCCACCGGGTGCTTTTTCCCTGGATTTCTTGGTAAAATTTTAATAAAAAATGCATTCATTCATTCAGGTGCCCCAGAATTCTTACAGTAGTAATTTGTGGCCCTGTGTTTATCCTATGTACTATCATTGGCTGACACACTTTCTATTTTGTCTCAAGTAAAATGGTGTACATGTGAAATGGCATGTGAGTGCTGAGAAGGCGGATAGGGATATCTTTACAATGAAGTCACTGATATCTATGATGTGCCGTTAACCAGATTTACAAATCTTGCCGCTTGCATGTCAAAGTATTTCAAAATATCACGCTTGGAAGCTAAAAAAACACTGGAACCATTGTGAAATTGTGCAGCAGGTTTTGCAGGCTGTTTTGTGTATTCGTGGTGAAACATCGGAGGTAGAAAACATTGCTGTTGTGCTGTGTGATCAGTATCGGTCTGACATGAACAAAGCCATACATTGGTCTCACGCACAGGAAAGGAGGAGGAAAATAAAGACACGGAAAATAGAGTGATGGGGGGATGTGCTCAGACTAAAGGAGAGCGTATTGATCCTTGCTTCATGATTGACTGAGAGGCTGCCTGTCACTCTGGCAGCCAAAGACAAATGGAGCATCAGACGGGCAGCTTTGTGGCTGTGCTGACCAAGTGCAAAGAACCAAGCAACAAGAAAAACAAAAACAAAAAAAAAAACAGCCAAAAGGTTAAACCGTTTCTGGGGGAGGGGGATTCTAGCTAAGAGCAGTGCACCTCATTAAATACTCAGCGTAAGCCCTGTGGATTTCATTGATTGCTGGTGTCCAGCAATGCCTGAGCTTTATCCCGCCCAGCTTCCTCTGAAAGAGGCAAAATGAGCATGAGCCTGAAGCAGGGATGATTGTTTATGCATCTTGAGTCTATTTCTGACTGGAGATCTTAATGTGGGCTGGCCCGGGTGGCTAAAGTGGGTCATAGGGTGAAGCGGACATAAAAGGGCTGACACAAAGTGGAGTCATCCTTGCTGGGGGGCATCTCACTGCCTCGACTCGGGTATAGCACACACACACGCACACACAAAGCGACTGCATAACACCAACCCCCCTTTTTCTCCACCTCCCTCAGTTTTTGCTACCCCCACCTCTCTGTTTTGATTGCTGCCTTTGTCCATTTTTCTGTTGGCCTTGTGCAGCAGCATCAATGAGATTTTCATCTCCTACTTGCACCTTACTGCACACTGCGGATATTACATCTGCAGCTGGTCCAGAATCCTAAGATTCAGTCCACTGGCATCTCAATAAACACACACATTTGTGTCGTTAAGGCTAACCTTAACCCCCCCACTACTAACCCCAATCCTACTTCCAAACCCAATCCTGACCCATCTAATCTTCTTAGAGAAGTAAGAAAAGGCAAAATGTCCTCACTTTGCTTATGTGTGTTATTCATTCTATCCTCAGGAGGACCTTAGAGTAATTGAAATATAACACACAGATGCTCAGGCACTGCAACAACAGGCTTTAGGACCCAGCGTTCCCGCCATAATATGGTAGCAGAGCTGAGGAAAGGCAAAAGGAAGAGGGAGAGAGACAGAGGAGGCGGAGGAGGAGAGAGAGGAGAGGAGGAGAGCTGTATTTGGAAAGTCAGAGAAAAGCTGAGAGTGGGAGAAGAAAGTTGACATCGTGTAAAGATGTGCTGCAACCGCAGCGAGGATTAATGAAAGACCTTCTCCTGTCTGTGAGGAGGAGGAGAGAGAGCGAGCCGAGCAGGATGCGAGGGAGGCTGTGCAGGGGGAAGGGGTGTCTTTGACAAAGCATGCACATTACTGCTGCCAGGCTGCACAGGTGTGTTAGGCGCATCTGAGCGCATCCACAGCCGCATCAGCACAGCTCGACGGAGGGATGCCGTCAAGTTTGACTCATGCTCTGTAACACATCCCCTCTCTCACACAAACACGTGTAGGATAGGACACACACACACACTTTCTGCACATGCCCACGCTGAGAGCAAACCAGTGGATCGGTGTGTAACGGAATTCAGTGTTGTTGGATGGTTAAAACTGGGACACTGGATTCTCCCGTTTCTCCTCGGAGGACTGGTCCTGAGGACAGGACAGGACGGATCCGAGTTTCCAGCGTAAAGGTGAGACAATATTTAAAAGAGCAGATACGAAACCTTGAGCGGTAAGAACAAAAGAAATGTCTGAATTGTGGTATTTATGTAGGCTGGTGTGTTTCATTAGTTAATACTGGATTGCTATAAGAAATAACATGTTCCC